GCTCGTGGATTTATAATCTCACTCTTCCTGACATGTTTTATTCCCCCAATGATCCTTACGAAAATTCTGCAGGGTGGGTAGTATTATTAAATTCGATTTATAGATCGAGCGATCTATATAAGGAGCGATTTAAGAATGAGGGCCAGGAGATCTAGAGAATATATATGTGTTATAGAAAAAGTAGATAAAAATAATTATATTTCGGCCATCTCCCCATGTCTGTTGTTTTCTAGCTTCCTCTTTGTTGCACTGGGCAGGTAGAATGTTATTTATTTGTTTATTTGTTTGTTTGTTTGTTTGTTTGTTTGTTTGTTTGTTTATTTATTTATTTATTTATTTATTTATTTATTTATTTATGAAATGTGTTAGCTGCCCAATGTAAATGCATCACTCAGGGCAGCAAACAATCCAACCGTATTTAAGAAAATAAATAATCAATTAGTAATCAATAATAATTTATTAATTTTATATGCTGGCTGATGCCTAGTAACTCTTGAATAAGAGTCCAAAAATAATGCAAGGAACAAAAATAACCCAAGCGCTGCGTAACAATTCCATCATAAAACAAAGACTGTGATAATTAAGGATCCTTTGTAGTTTTGGAAGACTGACTTTCAAACCTAGTTATCCACAACCCCAGAGTTAGTACCTGCAAGAGATAAGGTACACTTACCTGCCTGAAGGAGTGGATGCTTATTTATTTATTTATTTATTTATTTATTTATTTATTTATTTATTAAAAATTTATATACCGCCCTATTCCTAAGGGACTCAGGGCGGTGAACAGCGAACGATAAAAATACATGTAATACAAACGTTAATAATAAAAAACCAATTAAAATATACTAAACATTCTGGTCCTAGATAATTCAAGACATCCCAGTTTAAAATAAAATCAAAAAGCAATATAAAGGGAAAGTTAGGCCAGGCCGGCCTGCTGAAACAGGAATGTTTTGAGGGCACGGCGGAAAGTGTGCAGATCCGGAATCTTCTGTATCTCTGGGGGGAGCTCGTTCCAGATGGTGGGTGCCCCCACAGAAAAGGCTCTCCCCCTGGGGGCCGCCAGTCGACATTGTTTGGCTGACGGCACCCTGAGAAGCCCCTCTCTATGGGAGCGTACTGGGCGGTGAGAGGCTATTGGTGACAGAAGGCGGTCTCGTAAGTACCCCGGTCCTAAGCCATGGAGCGCTCTAAAGGTGGTAACTAAGACCTTGAAGCGCACCCGGAAGACCACAGGGAGCCAGTGCAGCTCGCGCAGGAGGGGAGCCACATGGGAGCGCCATGCTGCTCCCATAACTACCCGCGCGGCCGCATTCTGGACCAGCTGGAGCCTCCGGGTGCTCTTCAAGGGGAGCCCCATGTAGAGAACATTACAGTAGTCCAGGCGTGAAGTGACGAGGGCATGAGTGACCGTTTTTAACGAGTCCCGATCCAGAAAGGGACGCAACTGGCGAATCAGGCGAACCTGATAAAAAGACCTCCCGGCCACAGCTGTCAAGTGTTCTTCTAAAGACAGCCGTGAGTCCAAGAGGACGCCTAAGTTGCGAACCCTCTCCATGGGGGGCAATGACTCATCCCCAATAGTCAGTGATGGCACCAATTGACTGTATCGGGACGTCGGAAACCACAGCCACTCGGTCTTGGATGGGTTGAGCCTGAGTCTGTTCCTCCCCATCCAGATCCGTACAGCCTCCAGGCACTGGGACATCACATTATTGATCTGTGGGAAGCTGATTTTGGATAATAGCCATGGAAAAGTTGGTAGTTTTCAGAAAATTTGAAATGTGGAAGGAGGTCAGAGGATATCTTACAAACTATCTTGCTGAAATAGCATGCTAGGCTGGTAATATTTTTCAGTGCTCACAGGCTCCTATTTTTTCATGCCTTGGCTGCAATCCCTGTAAATTCACTGCGTTTCTTTTGCCCTTTGGAATAGGATTTTAGGGATTACTTTAAAGGAGGGCAGGTAGCTTGGGCGATAATTGCTTCTGCAGAATGCAAAATGGCTTTGCAGAATAGTTTCCATGTTCTAGCTTCATGACTAGAAATTCAGGACAGAATTTATGAAATCCTGTGAAAGTTTTGACTGACTTTGACATGGATAGGTTAGAGAATTCATTAAAAGAAGCAAACTTTGCTTAAATTCTCTTTTGACTGTGGACTGCTGATCTAAAACAAAATGTACATTACCCCTGAGAAGACATTCTGCTTTTAGGGAGGAGGGATGTTCATGGATACATATGGGACATTAATAAAAATTAAATCTATGCCTGTAAAAAATTAGCACATAATAGCTCTCAGCTCAGCATAGCCCAGTCTCTAAGATTTTGCTTTACCACATGTAAAGAGATTGCCTGTGATTCAGAAGATGTAAACCAGTTCCTGGGAAGGCAAACGAACATCTAATCCTATTCTGCATCATTGAGTGCAGGGGTTAGAATGCAGTATTGCAGGCTGACTCTGCCAACTGCCAACTGTTCGATCCTGACTGGCTCAAGGTTGACTCAGCTTTCCATCCTTCAGAAGTCGGTAAAATGAGGACCCAGATTGTTGAGGACAATATGCTGACTCTGTAAACTGCTTAGAGAGAGCTGCAAAAACACTCTGAAGCGGTATATAAATTTAGGTGCTATTGCTACAATCCTAAACCTAGTTTATTCATGGGGATTGGGGAGAGTGAAGAGGTAGATTCTTATAGTGGTTTCTCCCGGATATCAATCTGCAGATTTTCTTTTTTCAGTGTTGGCAAGCTCAGAGAGAGAAAAACCTTTCTATTTTTGGATAAAAATATGACATAGCAGACATAGTTCAGAAAGAACTATAGAAATTGGAGGAAACTACTGTACACAACACAAATTATAGCACGCACTATTGACAGCCATTCTCCGAAGTTCTGAAAGTTCTTAAAATGATACCGCAAATTCTGTAATCCTGTCACAGATATTGTAGTTATGCCCTATAAGCATTTTCTTGCATTATTTTAAAAATTAGCATTCGTTTTATTGCTGCATATTTCAGCTCACCCCTTAATCAGCCTATAAAGAGTGCCTCCAACACCCTTCTCTTTCTGTCACCTATGCTGTAGTGATTTTGCCTTGCACAGGCTGAACGGGGCGAGCATGAAAAGATAGCTGGCATTGCTTTTTTATCTTTTATCTATCCTGTAGAGGCATGAGATGGCTCGTTGCACATTCCTTTCTGCCACAGTCATGCTGTTTTGCTTTATAAGCACCTTGTCACATCCAGAGATAGCTAAGTTCTACTCAACACCATCACACCCAATGTGAGGAAAGGGAAAAAAATGGAAGGGAAGAATGCTTGAAAGAAAAGTGGCTACTTATCGGCTGCAAAAACATGCATCATTTCTGGGCATAATAAATGCTTCGGACATTCTTTGGTTATTCTAAACTGAGACGACCAAGTTTAGCAGAACTTCCTGCTGTGTAAGAAAGTGGAATCCAAAATGCGAAGAGTTCCTGGATCTCTCCCTTTAGTAGTCTAGATCAGGAGTCTCCACACTTGGCAACTTTAAAACCCAAGTCTCATAATTCCCCAGCCAGAATGGGGATGGTGGTGTCAGCTAAGGGAAAAGGAGAGGCAGGTAATCTTGATCTCATCCTGCCTGATTCCAGGGTGAGGCCACAGACTTCTCAAATGGATCGGTAAGATCACAAGAAGAGCCTAACTGGGTCAAGCCAAGATCTCTTTTATCCCAGCCGTTCGTTTACAGATGGTCCTCGACTTACGATCACAATTGAGCCCAAAATTTCTGTTGCTAAGTGAGACATTTGTTAAGTCAGTTTTGCCAACATTTTTACAAGCTTTGCTGCCACAGTTGTTAAGTGAATCATTGCAGTTGTTTATTTATTTATTAAATTTTTATACCGCCCCCTCTCCCGAAGGACTCGGGGCAGTGAACAGCCAAAATTAAAAAACATACAATATAAACATTAAAATACTATAAAAACAAAATTAAATTTATATTGGCTTTAAAATTTAAAACCCCTTACCCATAAAATTCAACAATTAAAAGATTTTTAACCCAGCCTGGCTTGCTGAAATAAAAAAGTCTTCAGAGCCCGGCGGAAGGTACAGAGCTCTGGGATCAGTCGTATCCCTGGGGGGTAGCTGATTCCAGAGGGCGGGTGCCCCCATAGAGAAGGCTCTTCCCTGGGGGGTCGCCAGCCGACATTGCCTGACCGACGGCAACCTGAGGAGGCCCTCTCTGTGGGAGCGTATTGGCCGGTGGGAGGTTATCGATGGCAGAAGGTGGTCTCGTAAATAACCGGGCCCTAAGCCATGGAGCGCTTTGAAGATGAGAACCAATACCTTGTTGTACCTAGTTGTTAAGTTAGTAACATGGTTGTTTAGTGAATATGGCTTCCCCATTCACTGTGCTTAACCGAAAGTCGCAAAAGGGGATCAAATGACCCATCATAAATATTAGTCAGTGGCCAAGCATTTGACTTTTGATCACATAACTACGTGGGTGCTGCAACAGTGATTAGTATGAAAAACGTCATAAGTCACTTTTTTCAGTGCCATTGTAACTTAGAACAGTCACTAAGCAAACTGTTTTAAATCAAGGACTATTCAATTCCCATAATCTTTACCAGTATATGTCATATATATTTTTGCCTGTTACTATATGCATAAATGTTAAGTTACTTTACATAAATATACTCCATGTTATCTTTCAGTCCTGATGCTACATGAATGCACCCCTAAATACATCCTAAATAGAATCTCTGGTGGCCTCCTGTCCCAGTGTCCAGATAATATAAACTGGATGCTGGGGTCTATTTATCCAGATGTAGAAAAAAAGCATATAGGGAAGGATGGATTCTAGCTTAGACAAAACTCTTGATGCGCCAAAATATCATACATCTGGATAGTTTTGAACAATTTCCCATTTAAATTGATAAAGGGGATCACATTTTTTTCAGCTTGTACCTTTTGTTAATTAAAAACACTTACTGATTGCTACATTTCTGTTACAGAAAACTACTTCATTAAAGACGGCACAACAGATCCATTACTGTGTGGCAACAGCACAGATGCTGGGTGAGTTTGATTTGATCATATTTTGAGAAAGAATGACAAACAAACCTCTGTTGTTATAACTAGAACTTCTTAGTTTCCCCAATGTTGTGCAGAAACCACGATTACGTCATATATGTTGCAATGTCACTGTACAAATGATGTAAATTATATAATTTGACTTATTTGGACAGTGATATCGCAATATGTGTGATCTCACTTCTCCCCTTTCCCTTTACAGATGTACTTGATAACTTCTTTGTTGGTACTTTTTCATGGAATAAGTTTCTGAAATAAATAAAACAGGTCTTTGGAAACTTGGTTAGATATTTTATTTTTATTTATTATTAGACTTCTATGCTACCCATTTCACCAAGGCGACACTAGGCAGCTTACAGTCATATAATTAAAATACCATGTTAAATATTAAAATGTTAACACATTAAATAAGAACCACACAATTAAAAATTCTGATAAAATGTGTTCAACCATGATGGAAAGAAAAGGAGCAAAGACCACAGGGAGCGGAGATGGGTCTGATTACAGTAAGTCTTCAACTTACGACCACAATTGAGCCCAAAATTTCCATTACTAATCAAGACAGTTGTTAAGTGAGTTTTGCCCTTCTTTATGATCTTTCTTGCCACAGATGTTAAGTGAATCACTGCAGTTCTTAAGTTAGTAACATGGTTGTTAAGAGAATCTGGCTTTCCCATTGACTTCACTTGTGAGAAGGTTGTAAAATGTGATCACACAAAGCTGAGACACTTCAAACATCACAAATATGAATCAATTGCCAAGCGTCCAGATTTTGATCATGTGACCTTAGGGATGCTGTAATGCTTGTTAAGTGTGAAAACCAGCCATAAGTCACTTTTTTGAGTTCTGTTCAGTGGTGGGTCCCTCCCGGTTCAGCCTGGTTCCGCCGAGCCGGTAGCGGTGATGATATGACGTCTCCGAACCGGTTCTGCCCCCCCGCCCCCACCCATCCCTCCGCGTTATTCTTACCTTTTATTTGGCCCCACTTCCAATCTATTGCTGCCTCCTGAGTCCCAGCTGATGGCTAGAGGGAAAAAAACTGTTTAAATTCTTGCCATGGGGCTTCAAAGGGCCGCCCTACAGCTGATCAGTGTTAAAAGAAAACAAATGAGTAGACCGGCGCCTGCAAAAATAAATGGGTAGATCAGTGCCTGCAAAAATAAATGGGTAGACCAGTGCCTGCAAAAACAAATGAGTAGACTAGTGCCTGCAAAAATACATGAGTAGATCAGTACCTGCAAAAATAAATGGGTAGACCAGTACAGCTGTGCAAGCAGTTAAAAACCTGGTAGACCAGTACCTCTGCTAAATCCTAAATAATTGTCACATGACCATCAAGCCACGGCCACAAAATATGCCACACCCACAGAACCGGTAGTAAAAAAATTTAGAACCCGCCCCTGGTTCTGTTGTAACTTCACACAGTCATTAAACAAATGGTTGTAAGTCAAGGACTACCTGCAGGCTATGTTTCTCCATCTCTCTAGTTCTCAGAAATTTTAGGTTGGATCCAAACTACTGTAGCTGAGTTGATCCAGACTAAATTAGTTGAATTTAATTGCACTGAAATGTAATTTAAATGTACGCATAACTTATTGCATGGATTTCAGTAAATAAAATATAATAGACTCTGATGGCTGTTTTCTTGGAAAGAGAGTTCACTAAGTTCATTGAGACTTACTTTCTATATTGATTTCCTTGGAAAGTACAACATTATGTATGCTTATTTGAAAGTACTTTAAAAATTTGAAGTCCAGTAAGACTAATGGTTAATTGTTGTATTTCTGACTGCTTCAATTCAGTGGAGCAATTCATGGTTGTTAGTTCAGCTCTAGATGGCAGTCACACTTCAGAGGGTCAATGCGAATGGCAAAGATCCAGTCATGATAATAACATTATCTGCAGAAAAAGATCAGGTTAAGTTGCTAATATTTTTTCAGTCTATATTGCTAGTATTTTTCCCATGTATTATCCTCCTCTACGTCCTCCATCAGGAACTAGTGAATATGTTTGTCCTGGCATTCAATTAATAATTAAAAAAGGAGAATGCTAGAAAAGAGAAGGGAACATAAGAAAAAAAAATTGAAATAGAGACATGAGAGAAAAGCAAGAATGAAAATGATGCATGATTAATTCCAGTGTTGTTGCTTTCAAGAAACAGAGCATATTTTTAAAGGTCTTTCAAAAATATGTCTATGATGAAATTTTAAAAGAATTTCCATGGCAGAATTTTAAAGGAATTTCTAAGGAAATCTAAATGCCACAGTGGCCTTGAAATAAAAAACAAAACTGACATAAAACTATCCTGAGCTGTATAAAAAGTTTCTCCATTGTGTGGAGTTTGAATTAAGGAGGTGCCGATGAAAGATTACAAGGTGCTTCGGAGCAAGGGTAGGCATATTACTCAAGTATATATATAGTGTACAGATAATCCTCGATTTACAACCATTTGCTTAGTGACTATCCAAAGTTACAACAACACTGAAAAAAGTGACCGGTTCTCACATTTACAACAGCATCCCCATTGGTACATAGCAATAGCACTTAGACTTATATACCACTTCACAGTGCTTCACAGCCCTCTCTAAGCGGTTTACAGAGTCGGCATATGGCCCCCAACAATCTGGGTCCTCATTTTACCCACCTCGGAAGGATGGAAGGCTGAGTCAACCTTGAGCCTGGTGAGATTTGAACTGCCAAATTGCAGGCAGCCGGCAGGTAGCAGAAGTAGCCTGCAGTACTGCACTCTAAGCACTGTGTCTCCACAGTTCATGATCTAAATTCAGGCGCTTGGCAACTATGCATGTATTAATGATGATTGAAGCATCTTGGGGGTCATGTGATTGCCATTTGGGATCTTCCCAATTGGCTTTTCCCAAGCAAAGTCAATGAGGAACGCTGGATCCGCTTAACAATTGTTTGATCCATTTAACAACGGCAATGATTCGCTTAACAACCATGGCAAGAAAAAGTATAAAATTGGGCACTACTTACTTAACAACCTACTTAACAACCGCCTCGCTTAACAATGGAAACTCTGGTCTCAGTTGTGATTGTAAATTGAGAACTACCTATAGTTACTATACAAGCCTTAGAGGTAACTTGTATGATACCATTTTGGAGCATATTTTTTTTGGCATAAGTTCTGAATGGCTTCACATCCCTATTGGGCAATACCAAAAGACATTTTCAGTAGATTGCTAATTGGCTGTGACATTGCCAGGGTCAAGGGGACAATGGAAAAATGTGCCCTCTGTTCTCATGGAAGCTCTGTTCTCCTTAACCCTTCTTCCAAAATTTTTCTCCCACTTTAAATTTAGCCATCTGTGGCTCTTTTCCTCCCCAGTACTTTCTGTCATTCTTTTCCACCTTAGCAGATAGCAGAATTTTGGCTTGTTCTTCTCTCTTCACCCTGTTTTTAAATGAATTGGATGTACAGATAGTCATTGATTTACAGCTATTCATTTAGTGACCGTTCAAATTTACTACAGCATGAAAAAAGGGACTTATGACCGTTTTTCATACTTATGATCTCCGCAGCATCCCCAAGGGCACGTGATCAAAATTTGGATGCTTGACAACTGGCTTGTATAGATCCATGGACCACTGGTGGTCCACGAGAAAATTTTGGTGGTCCGCAGAAAAATTATTTGCATTTATTGTATTGCACTAAATCAGGGGTCCTCTAACTACGGCTCCTGGGATGGATACGTGCAATGAACATTTGTGTTGCTGCAGAGAGTCTCCCCCTTCGGGGACTTCTTCTGTGGGTCGGAGTGGGGCAGAAATTTTGACTTGGGGTCTGCTTCAGCCTCCTGGTGTGGAGGCTGGAGTGAAGTACTGCTGGTGGTGAAGAGCTGGAGAGCCTTGTTCCAGTGGGACTGCATCATGGCCTGGAACTGGCTGACCGTCTCAGCCCACTGAGCCTCCAGGTGCCAGCACCTGGCCTTGCACTCCTGCAGGTCTTCCTCTGCTTGGAATGCCTATGCTCGCAGTCCTCAATGAGGTGCTTCTGCTGAGCCTCCTTTGAACTGAGCCAGCTGTTTTGCCAACTCTTTCTCATGGTGGCTGCTTAGCTCCAACAATTGCTTCCTGTTGAGACCCTAAGGAGCCCGGGCGGGGAGGCGAGGAGTGGCTGGCAGGGGAGGGGTGAGTAGAGGCTGATGAGGCACCCCTCAATGTCACTGACATTGATTTGGCCACACCCACTCAGTCACATGACCACCTAGCCACGCCCACCCAGCTGGTCATTAGGCAGGTCATATTAGTGGTCCATGGAATTTAAAATTATGAATTTAGTGGTCCCTGAAGTCCGAAAGGTTGGGGACCCCTGGTATAGATAGTCCTTGACTTAGATCTACAAATGAGTTCAACATTTCTGTTATGAAGCAAGAGTTATAACATGAATTTTGCCCCATTTTATCATCTTTCTTGTCACAGTTGTTAAGTGAATCACTGCAGTTTTGTTTTTTTTAAAATTTGATTTATATGCCGCCCTTCTCCAGAGACTCAGGGCGGCTTACAATGCGTTAAGCAATAGCCTTCATACTTTTGTATATTTTATACAAAGTCCGCTTATTGCCCCCACAAACTGGGTCCTGTGTTAAGTTAGTAACACAATTTTTGTGAATCTGACTTTGCTTGTTAGAAAATTGCAAAAGATGATGACATGACCCGGGACACTGCAACCGTCATAAATACAAATCAGTTGCTAAATGTCTGAATTTTGATTACATGAGGATGGTACAGCAAAGGTCATAAGTGTGTAAACAGTCATAAGTCACTTTTTTCAATGCCACGAAACTTTGAACGGTCACTAAATGAACCGTTGTAAGTCGAGGTTAATTGACTTAGCTGTAATAGCTGCACTGTCCCAGAATCATGTGATCACTATTGGTAATCTTCCCATCTAGCTTCCGACAAGCAAAGTCAATGGGAGAAATCTGATTTCTTAATTATCTTCTGATTCACTTAACAACTGCAAT